TCTTTTTCTGCTGAGTAGACGTTGAAGAACTCCCACTTTCTTCTAGCTTATGTAAAATGGTGCAAATATTCATAAAACGGGGGGGGGGGGGGAATTCAATTAGAAATAGAATGCCTGATTAGTACTGCCCTCTAGGAGGTATTAGTACAAACAAAAATAAAAACTCAAACAAGTAAACATTTAAATAGCATTTTAAAATGTAGAAGAACACTTGAGGTGCATTACGGCCGCCCTGCAGAAGCTTCACTTGAACGCGCTAGATGCGTTACGGACGACGAAGAAGTTAATATACTTGACTACTCCTTCTACCTTAATTTGGCCAGCTTTATTCCTTCTCTAACGAATTCTTGTCCTTGCATCTTAATAGACTTGATGGTCCCTTCCACATTTCCTTGGAATGCAGCAAAGGCTGTTACCAGCTGTCTTACTTTCTCCTCCATAGCTCTTGTCATCAGCATTCAATCCCACTTCTGATGCACAAAACCGTTACGAGGTAATAATGGATTGAATGCACACAGAACTAATGACAACTTAACAAAATGTTTCTAAAAGAAACACTTCACAATTCTGGAGTGTTTCACAAAAGTACTTGTACAGTTCTTCTCAGTATAATATAGCACAATCAGCAGTTACCATTTGTCAAACTATAAATTTCAATCAAAAGAATAAACAGGGTTCATAGCCACATTTTAGTTAAAAAAATAAGCACTTATAAGCACTTTTCAAGCACATTTTAAGAAAAAAAATAAGCACCTGTCTAATTACATTATACACAACTGCATAACCTTAAAAATTAGACTTGTAATTTAAAATATGAGAAATGCAGTATTTATTAAGAGAGAATACTTTTTTTTTAAATTTTAAATAACAGTTCAATTTATAGAACTAGTTTACAATGAGAGGGAAAAAAAACTTTGCAGAACTAAACTATATTACAAGATTTAATGATGAAATTTTAGTTCAAAATAGAGAAAATAAATAATAATAAGGAATATTTATTGTATTTGCTTGGAACCTAATAATAAATACAATTTATGTTTCCACTCATATTGATATTTAAATAATTTAAATCTAAATTCTGAACATTTTCTAAATTTTCATTGTATATCAGTTTTCCCTTAACAGATCAGGGTTCATAGCCACATTTTAGTTAAAAAAATAAGCACCTATAAGCACTTTTCAAGCACATTTTAAGAAAAAAAAATAAGCACCTGCCTAATTACATCATACACAACTGCATAACCTTAAAAATTAGACTTGTAATTTAAAATATGAGAAATGAAGTACTTAATAAGAGAGAATAAGCATTACCTCAACCATGGAAAATAATTACTTTTTGTGGTTTTTAATTTTAAATAATAGTTCAATTTACAGAACTAGTTTAGAATGAGAGAAAAAAAACTATGAAGAACTAAACTATATTACAAGATTTAATGATGAAATTTCAGTTCAAAATAGAGAAAATAAATAATAATAAAGCATATTTATTGTATTCGCTTGGAACCTAATATTAAATACAATTTATTTTCCCACTCATATTGCTATTTAAGTAATTTAAATCTAAATTCTGAACATTTTCTAAATTTTCATCATATATCAGTTTTTCCTTAACAGATATTGCAAGCAAAGTAATTTAAGTAAAAAAGAGGAACATTTCTGAAATCAGAAGACAGAAATTTGCTTCATGCAGTCATCTTTAACAGTAAAAGCTTAACTAACTCGCATACTTGGAAATTGGTGAATATTCGGACAGTCGAGCGTAACTTGAAGGAGCGGAAGGGGGGGTAGACTGTAGCCGCTCTTTAGATTTTTCCGCTAAATAAATGCTTTTGACATTTCAATATGTGCATCATATAAAAATAAGCCAACCAAACTAAAAAATATTCCGTTTAGTAAGGACAGTAAAACTCTTTTAAGTGCTCATAAACAAATCTCGGACTGAACATCAAAATTAATTATCTCTGCAAAATATCGCAAACGTTATTGCCCAATACGTGCGCCGTAATTCTTCCCTACGTGATATTACGCAATCGGAATCAACAACTGCCGGTATTGAGAGAAAAAAGAACTAAATAACTGGAGTGTTTTTCATTCTAATTTTCAACAGACGGCGTTAAATTTCCGGAATAGAATCATTCTTCGCTTGGGTTGGTAGACCGCAGAACTTTTAGTCCTATTCAATCCAGATTGGAAAGTGACCCCCCCACCCCCCCCCGAAAAAAAGGTCCGTTGCTTGTTTTGCAGCGAACTGTAACAGTTTCAATATTCAAGATTTTGCGGAGAAAGGGGAGACCTCCCAACCTTCGTACTGTTTAATGTATTGGCCAAAAAAAAATGAAACTATTTTGACTATTCGATTACTTTCCCTTTATTTAAGCCATTCCGAATATTATTCCTTAGAAAGCTAATCTGTGTTAAAACACAACCATTTTTGGAAGTTTACTATACTTCAGCAGTTACTGCAACTATGTTGTTATAAACATTCATACATATGCTCATAATATAAGCATAACGATCATAATAAACACGAATATGAACTGACCAAGCAGAACGAGAATGCAAATCTTTTTAAGATCTTGATATAAATTCAAACGTGTGTAGTATTTGGGTGGGAGGAAAAGAATGCCAATTATAGCAGAATTTTCTACTGCTTTCGCAATTCTTTGACCAATAGAACGATGGGCAGCTGTCTGTACTCTTCGTGCCGCAATTCTTTGACCAATAGAACGACGGGCACCTGTCTGTACTCTTCGTGCACACCAAAGGTTATGTTAATGCAGAGAAAGGGGGAAAAGCTATTTCCGGGAGTATGACTCACCATCTGACATTCCATATTAGGAAGAAAAGTTGTTTATTTAATTTCGGCTTTGTTACGGCGAAAATAGCACGTTCATTAAAAGAAAAGCACTTAAAGCAAAAAATAAGCACTAAAAAAAAAAATTAAAAAAAAATAAGTGCTTTAAAGAAAAAGTAAGCACCTATAAGGGCCTTTATATTTTATTTTCAAATATAAGGACTTATAAGCACTTATAAGGACCGCTACGAACCCTGCAGATATTGCAAGCAAAGTAATTTAAGTAAAAAAGAGGAACATTTCTGAAATCAGGTGTTGGTGTATTTAATTATGGCAAAGCACACGAGGGCTATTTGCCTAAAGGGAGGGATGCCTTTCGTGGAGGACTTTCTAAGAGAAACTGGCTCATATACACGTTACACATGGGGAAAACCACGAAAACGCCCATGCAGCCAGCCCGTTCGCGGGATTCGAACCTCAGACCGAACTACCAGTGTTCAGCGTCTTTACCGCTCGGCCGCTGGTGGGCTTTTCTGAAATCAGAAGACAGAAATTTGCTTCAAGCAGTCATCCTTTAACAGTAAAAGCTTAACTAACCCGCATACTTGGAAATTGGCGAATATTCGGACAGCCGAGCATAACTTGAAAAAGAGGAGCGGGGGGGGGGGGAGAGACTGTAGCCGCTCTTTAAATTTTCCCCCTAAATAAATGCTTTTGCCATTTCGATATGCCCATCATATAAAAATAAACCAATGGAACTGAAAAATATTCTGCTTAGCAAGCACAGTAAAACTCTTTTAAGTGTTCATAAACAAATCTCGGACAGAACATCAAAATTAATAATTATCTCTGCAAAATATCGCAAACGTTATTGTGCAATACAGGTTCCCTGTAATCATTCTTCCCTACGTGATATTACGCAATCGGAATCAACAGCTGCCTGGTATTGGGAGAATAAAGAACTAAATAACATTGGAAAAGAATGAGACTTACCAATCTGGGGTGTTATTCATTCTAATTTTCAACAGACGGCGTTAAATTTCCGGAATAGAATCATTCTTCGCTTGGTTGATAGACCTGCAGAACTTTTAGTCCTATTTCAATCCAGAATGGAAAGTGACTTAAAAAAAAAAAAAAAAAAAAAAAAAAAAACCGTTGCTTGTTTTGCAGTGAACTATAATAGTTTCAATATTCGAGATTTTGCGGAGAAAGGGAAGAACCTCCCAGTCTTCGTACTGTATAATGTATTGGCCAAAAAAAAAACAAAATTATTTTGACTATTTGATTACTTTCCCTTTATTTAAGCCATTCCGAATATTATTTCTTAGAAAGCTAATCTGTGTTAAAACACAACCATTTTTGAAAGTTTACTATACTTCAGCAGTTACTGTAACTATGTTATTATAAACATTCATATATATGCTCATAATATAAGTATAACGATCATAATAAACACGAATATGAACTGACCAAGCGGAACGAGAATGCAAATTATTAAGATCTTGATAGAAATTCAAACGTGTGTAGCATTTGGGTGGGAGGAAAAGAATGCCAAATGTAGCGGAATTTTCTACTGCTTTCGCAATTCTTTGACCAATAGAACGACGGGAACCTGTCTGTACTCTTCGCGCACACCAAAGGTTATGTTAATGCAGAGAAAAAGGGCGAAAAGCTATTTCCGGGAGTACATGATTCACCATCTGGACGTTCCTATATTAAGGAAAGAAAAGTTGTTTATTTAAGTTTCGGCTTTGGTATGGAGGAAAAATAGCGCGTTCATTAAAAAAAAAGCACTAAAAGCAAAATATAAGCACTAAAAAAAAAAAAAAAAAAAAAAAGGCTTTAAAGAAAAAGTAAGCACCTATAAGGGCCTTTATATTTTATTTTCAAATATAAGGACTTATAAGGACCGCTACGAACCCTGATAAATATGCCTGACCAATATCCTAAAATGTTCTCTAAAGTACAAAGAGGTCGAGGATCTCTGTATTACATAGAAAATGTATACTGCACATATACAGATATTACATAGTCGATTATTGATAGGAAAAAGATGCCAACCCAACCTGGCGACGAGGAATTACATGAAAACAAAATTGCCCAGTGGCATGATTTTAACAGACGATATCCAAAAATAAAATATAAACACACTAGATAATGATACTGAGATTATAGGATCATGAAATGAGTAGATGTTCAAACTCACCATTTCCATCTATTTCTTCAAGCAGTTCATCATCATCTTCTTCTTCTTCATCATCATCATCATCGGATTCTTCTTCATTCTCATAATTGCCAACTGGTTCTTGTTCTTCAGTTTCTTGTTCTTCATAGTTGTTTCCGGCTTCAGAGGCTTCTGCATCATTTTCAACTGATTTAAAACATAAAAATACAAATATAATCAGTAAACATTTTTGGAATTCTAAACTTCTAAAAAATATAACCAACAAAATAAAATTTTACCTTTAGATGAAATGTTTTAGCTTTTTGTTATGAAAACAGAAATTGATAATTAAGGGAGTTACGTATTATACCATAAGCTGTGAAACTATTGCCACGCAGAGCGATTTGTCACCTCATGTTTTGTATACACCAGGTGTGGCCAAACTACATATTAATAAGAGCCGTATGTTGGAATTTAAGAAAGTTTCACAGCCACAACAACCAAATTTTCCAAAAGCCAGAAGTCCATATTACATTACATCATTTTTAAAGTACTGAAAGAGGTTTCAAATGGAAAGAAATGTCTGATTCAATGACAGTTTGCCTTTGGGATGTGATGATGCATCAAAGACAACGTGAAATATGAGACATTATTTATATATCTCATGAAATGATGTAAAAATGGATTGATAAATCTTAAGAGAAAGAGAAATTAGTATTTTAACATCTTCCTACAATATGCTAATTTCAGTTTATAAAAAATTAAATGTTAATTTAATATAATATTATTGCATTAATTAAATTTATTTTCTGTTGCTTACCAGTTTCACTACATAATAATAATTTTACACAAAATATTATGTACTACAAAAGACATTGTTTATACCCGTCCCTCCAATTCCGCATTTCTACTTAACCTTCCAGCACGCGCATGTCGTATTTTTTTACGACATTGCATTAATTAAATTTATTTTCTGTTGCTTACCAGTTTCACTACATAATAATTTTACACAAAATATTATGTACTACAAAAGACATTGTTTATACCCGTCCCTCCAATTCCGCATTTCTACTTAACCTTCCAGCACGCGCATGTCGTATTTTTTTACGACATCTATTATTTTACCGTTTGGGGCACAGAAAATGACAGAAATGAGCGAATATTGATAATAAATTTGTAAAACATAAAATATTAGCTTTATTACTGCAAAAAAAAAAACGATGTTACACTTAAATGATAGTAAATTATTTTTAACGTTCAAATCAGTAAAGTGGAAAAACAATGATGTATTTCATTATAAAAATTTAAAAATTTGTTATTTAATAACTATATCTTAAAATCCAAGCTAGTTTTTAATATTCATCTGTCCTGTGTTTGATTATCATCAAATCGAAAACAACTTGTCAGAAATCAAAATCTCTTGTAGTTTTATCACAGCTCTTGTTATTTCAATTCCAGTGCTATCACTTGAGAACAATTCTTTTGCATTTACATGGTGTCCTTTTTTTTTAATCCTATCATATATAACAATCCAAATTAGGCCATCATTTCCACTCAGGTAATAGTGCTATTATTCTCACATCCAAAAGTTTCCTTGTCTTCTTTTTCTTCATCAGATAATTCTTGAAAAATGCAAGCAAAATCAGCTGGTTGCACATTTTTTTTTTTTTTTAAACCATGAAAACGGATATAAAAATTATAGACTGAATTTATTCAAATTAAAATAATACATGTCAATTAATAACACAAAATTACTAAATATTTTCCGAACTGCTAAAAAGCATTTCCTTGGCAAAGGCTGAAAATTAAAAAACATTCTGTGATCTAGTGAAGGACCTCCCCACCAAAAAAATCAACTATTAGATTACATTTAAAGAACATCTAATATATTGTTATGAATTTTGTATTTAGCTAATTTTAGTACAGTCAAAAGTCGTTAATCCGGACTCGTCGGGACTTCGGCGATTCCGGATTATCGATTTTTCCGGATTATAGATCATCAGTTTAAATCTGGTAAAATGGCATGCAGAAATTATAAAATTAAAAATATGAAACCGTAATTTTACGAAATAAAGAACAATTATGATCTAAAGGGTATCAAAATTTAGAAAAAAAAAAAAAGCTTAATATTTATTTGTTTACTTTATTAAACATTTCTTCCAATGTAAGTTGTTTCAGTTGCTTCGTTTTTATATGATAATACATTCTCTTTAATTCTATAAATAGACATAATTTTTCTTGTCAGTTACAAAGTTCCGCTGTTCAAGTCCTATAATTGCTGTGTCGAGAATACCGACTAATTTGTCAATCGAAATTTTTTCGTTTTCAATAACCTCTGTCACTTTCTTCGCTATCGGAAGCAAATTATGATGACCAGGCATTTGATTTAAATCATATCAAGACGGAGTACGTCGAGATGAAATACTCCATTGAGTAAGCAATTATAAGCCAAATAAAATAAAAACATCTGCCCTTAAGATAAGGATAGTGCTGACAGATCAACTTCCAATTCATTGCACCCCACTGGGGCGTTAAAGATAAACAAAGTTTAGATAAACAAACGTTAAAGTTTAGATAAACAAAGAATATGCCTTTATCCATTTTTTGCAGCAATTCCACTTTTTGTTTAATGGACTCCGAAAGATAATTTCGCTTTGTATATCCTTTACATATTAGTAAATATATATCGGAAATTCTATTTGACATTATCGAATGTTCAAGCTTACTTTTATAAAATTGCTCTAACAGTCTGCAAAAAATAATAATCCGGATCCAATTCGAAGATTAAGGAACAACGCAATCTGCAACATTAACTGAAATCGATAATTAGATAATTTTAGCTTAGCTTATCCCGTCCGTTATACATTAAACGTGCATTCGTAAACGTATTTTGCGCACACGCAAATTCGCAACGGTAATGGTCTTACGCACATGCGTCAACGCGACGCATGCGCAGAAAATTTGTAGCTTTTAGGTCCGGATTATGGGTGTTCGAATTAACGACTTTTGACTGTATAATTATAATTAAAATTGTTTTATTTCCCTGTGCAATGCAGCACAAGACATATTTTAAGAGAAAGCTACGCCAGAAAAGTAAAAATACAGAAGCACATGCATTTAACATTTAATAAACAGATATCTTGTAATTTATATTTAAATTGAAAAAAATGTAATTGACTGCTAGCTATAACTGTAATTCTACACTTTTGCTTTCCAGAAATCTTGAGAAGCAAAGAAATTACCAGAAATCTCTCACAAAAGATTTAAAGCTATAAAAGGCCAGACAGAGAACATCTCATCTCAGCTGCTGTTGTTAATTTTAAGAGTTCAGCAAGAGATCAGATTAGCTTTCTCTTTGTATTGCGTTGCATTTTAACATTTTTAGTAGTTTAAAGTATATCTACTGGTTATATTGCTTGATATTGTGAAATTGCACCAATATCTCTGACTAAAAATTAGTTCTATTTCTTCCACACTGCAATAATACATATATTATTCCAGTGTTCTGATATATTTCTTGTGATAAGAATAAATTTTATTAACCTTTTATCAAACTTGTGCATTCAATCTATTACAAAACCATTTGCACGCAACAATATTACTGTTACATAAGCATCCACAGTGTTGAATGAAATTGAAAGAGACTGGAAAAGAAGAAAAAAAAAAAAAAAAAAAGATTGGAAAACTGTATTCAATAAGCAAATAGGATGATCGAAAGCTTACCATTCCCAGAATGATTGACCGTCACTACTGTTTGCTCCTCTTGCACATCGTTGTCACTGAGTATATGATATCCACTCAGATGAACTGGACCTAAGGGGTTAGATGGTGATATTTTTAAAACTGTTGGTACATAAACCCTCACAAAATATGGAATTATCTAACAGAAATCCAATGTTAAACTTCTATAGAACTTTTTAAAATTATAATGCAGTTTTATATAAACTATAATATATCAGAGATCTAACAGCAGTTTCAAAGTTCCTCCAAAGCAATTTTATGTGGCCCACAGTTATACTTAAATTGCATTATTTGCAAAGACTAAGATTTTAGTTATTTGAAGACCAAATTTACATAATTTTTAGCATTTGTTACCCCTGAAATGAACACAAAGAACCCACCAGAAAAGCTATAAATGGAGCTAACTAATTAACAGTATAACATAAATCTTTAAAAAAAAAAAAAAAAAAAAAAAAAAAAAAAAAAAAGATTTTCAAAATAAAAATTTGAGTAACTGTTATTTATACTGCTGTCAAAAAATAAATATGCTTAGCTACAAATTTTTGCATTTAAGGGTAGGGATCCCTGAGTGAAACTGGTTCATATACATATTAAACTACAAGCCCCATGCAAAACAACCTTACAAAATGTGTATCGAATTGTACAATTCTATTGAAAATATCAGAATTGGAATTTAGAAAATTGTGCAATAATTTTAAAGAAATTTCTTTGCCTGAAGTTTCTATAAACAATCATATAAAAGATTTTGGGTACTTATAAGCATTAAAAAACAAACAAAAGTTTCTGTTGAAATTTAAAAGAATGAGTTAAAATTTTTATTTTTGAACAGAATTTTTAACTTTGCTTAAATTTTCAAATAATATATTATATGAGGAGGGATTAAGTACTTTTGGAAGAAATATGATTTTCTGTAATGAAAACTTTCAAAAAATTAAAAGTAAATACATTTTAAACAAATTATTTAATTAAAATTAAATCATTTCTCGTATTGGGGCTACATGTATGATAGTAAACAGCATTCATTTGAGAAAATAAAATTTTATAATTAACATCATGAATTTAATCTTTTAACTAAGTTTATAATTTAAATTTTTGTATTATATATGGAGTACTGCACACACACACACAAAAAAAAAAAAAAAAAAAAAAAAAAAAATTATTCCACAAATGTTACATAAATTTAGAAGCTAAAAACAATTAACTTACAGAAACAATCTGATGTGCACCACAATTTTGTTCTACAGCCTATTAAACTATATACATTTTTTTCTGCATTTCATTTAAGCTTATTTTCTTGAATTATTAAAACTGAGTAAACCAAACCCTCTAAGCAAGTTGAAAATGACACAAAAAAATGCAAATTTTGAAATCTAATATCCCAGTGAATTTTTGTTGTACAAAAGTCAAACTTGTTTTTTTTTTTTTTTTAATTATTTTTTTCATAATGAGTATGAAACTTTCTCAAATATAAGTACAAAAAATGGAAAACTGCATTAAAAGTTAAGATTTCATTATTTGTTCAAAATGAATTTTTTAAAATTTGATATTGTCAAAACATGAATATTTTTTCTATTTAAGGGGGCTGCATACCTTAGAAACCGAGATTTTGGTAAAAACTCCTTTTTTTTTCCCCTTATGCTCCATGAAAGTCTTCTTATGTTTCCAAATTCAAAACTGTTTGAATTTTGTTCCTACGTTCATTTAAACCGGAGTTATGATACTTTATTTTACACCTTGTGCTCGAAAAGCATACCGGAAGTGCACAAGACAGAAATATTTAAAAGGCCGAAGTGGGTGTGTCAGAGTTGTTTACTTTTATTTTCGGGGCTTAACACTTTATTTACATTTTAAAGACCAAAAAGTACTTTTATGATGGCAACGAAACAAAGTTCTAGCATAATTATATTTAAAAGGCCGAAGTGGGTGTGTCAGAGTTGTTTACTTTTATTTTCGGGGCTTAACACTTTATTTACATTTTAAAGACGAAAAAGTACTTTTATGATGGCAACGAAACAAAGTTCTAGCATACTTTCAAGCTGTGTGTTATGAATTCATTAACTCATTTTCGCTTGTGTTTTGATTCTGTGTTTACATTGCTGATAAGTGTTTCTATATATTACTGAATAATATTCATTAATTTTTATAGGTATAGATAGATGTTGGTATAGATATGGTAAATTAGGTATAAATATTGGTTACTACACTGCAAACGAGTATGAAAGTTTTGATGTTAATCATATCGACAATGCAAAACGACATTCCCATATTTGGCTTCAAAAAGCTTAGAAAAATTTTAAAAGCTGAGAGAAAGCAAAAAAATGTAAATTCCAAAACACAAGAGGGCATTAGTTATAAATCAGGGGAATTACAAGTTTACAAACTGATTAAAAGTAGGTATTTGAGTGTTTGAATTTTTTAAACGCGTTTATCTCGTTTTTCATTTTTCGTGTTTTAATGCTAACCAGAAACACGATATCTTTAAAAATTATAGTTGAAATCTTATGCAATTTAGTATACATGTTTAGAACACTTCATGCAAGGAGACAGACTAATTACTAATTGATAAATGCATTTTTTATAAAATAATTACGTATTAAAGATGAACTTTAATGAGAAAATATGATTTTTCTTTGTTATATTACATATTCTAGCTCAAAAATATTTTAAATAACGTCCTAGCTTTAAAATAATAGTCTACCTCCTTGAGAATATCTTTATAATGGGTTTGCATTTTTCAAAACATGAAAATATATTATACATTTTTTTAACACAATGTTTCTAATTTATTGTAAATATTGCTGTTTTTTTGGCTCGTTTTCTTACTATACTCCAAAAATACAAAATTAATGGTCATTAAATAACTCATATTCTTCATTTTTTTCATCATTAATTATTAAATGCAAAAACTTTTTAAAAAAGTGTTCGAAGGTATACAGCCCCCTTAACCCTTTGCGGCAACTATACGTTAACATAGGAATTCAAAAAAAAAGTTTATGCAGTATATTAGTCTAAAGAGTATACTGGTAAAATTTTGTAAAAATTGCACTTACGTTTTAACTCTGTGGGTGTTCCATGAGGGGACACTGCTCACCAGAGCTTTTAAAAGTGCGACTAAGCGAGCTTGAAGTTAAGCACGAAAATGAGTAGAAGCGTTTGTATAAGAATGAAAAAACTCTGTATTAGGCTCATACATGGTTTCCTGGATTACACAATATTCTTGAATATATACGGATAATGAGATAATATCTATACACACAAGTATATATACAAATATTTACAAATTTTCGGAAAGAATTAGACCTCTCTCCTTTTCTGGAAAATAATAAAAAAATTAACTACGATTTATTAACAATAAAGAAAAAATAAGCCTATAAATATATACATACACGAAAAATATCTACACAATTTTGAAAATAAATGGGAATGAGATAAAATGAAAGCAGTAAAAAATTCGTGCAGGTCTAAGTAAAGATGAGTCAAGCGCAATCAATTCCCCTTAAAAAAACTACTCCCAAAAATTCAGCTGTAATATTAGGCCTTTCATAACATAAAACACACCTCACCTCTCAATACTACTTTGTCGAATTCATTCGCCCCCCAAAACAACGTAAACAACGGATGTTCTCTCCTAAGCACAGATGTTCTGATTCGTAACAGCATCGCTAAAGGCACAGTGTTCCCGCTAATGGAACAACGGTTTCATTCAATGATTCTGTGTCATTTGGAGTACAGCTAGCAAACATTGTGCCTAATTTTTTTTCCAAATAAAATTTTTTATATCATTAAAAAAATAGAGAAAATTACTTAAAATACAGTGGATTTTAGTAACACATAATAATGAAAATTTTGCGTCTCCTTGTGATATGCTGCTATCTACTGTTTAAAAGAAAAGTTCAAAGTATTTGTAAAGGCATTTTTATCTATCGGTTTGAATTTAAAGGTTTCAAAGCGATTCAATTTGGGTGTCCATGTAGTGAACCTGAGCGCAAAGGGTTAAAACACTTCTGTAATTGGAAATATCTGCCCACGCAACATGTAAAATAAAGGCCAGGTAAGGACTTTAGTTGGGAAGGGATTGGGTGTGTGTTATATATAATGCATATATAATGGAAAAATGCTTCAAAGATAAAAAAGTTAATTTAAATATTCTCTTGCACCATTGCTCAAGGAACGAAATTTAATTTAACAACATATCTATCATAAAAGCAATTTAAGTGAAATTTAATGCAAACAAATAAGGATTAATTATTGCTGCAAACTCTCTACAATTCATTTACATTCTGATAAGCTATGTACAATACAGTGAATTTTGGAAAGTAAAATTCTTAACTAATTTTTCGACAGGGAAAATTAAAAAAAAACTAGGAATTTAAATATTACTACTATTTCATTCACTAAATTAAACTATTGTAATTTAATAGATATTAAAAAAAACAGTGTAAAAATTATACTCCATAAAAAAAGAAAACCAAATATTAAACTCGAAATTGAATTTTGAAAATAAAACAAAGAGAACAAACTAGGTAATTAACGTAAAGCTGCGAAGTACAAACAAAATGCTTTCAAAAAATAAAATAAATAAGTTAAATTATTTTAAATAATTTCTTTGCCACATTCTGCAAGGAATGAAATTTGATTAACAAAACTTCTTGATTTGTAAAAGCAAATAAAGTGAATAAATTTAAAGGAAATTAATGCAAAAAATAAATGATTAATTATTGTTGCGAGCTAATCTACAATATTATTTAAATTCTGAGAGCATATGTACAATAAAGTGAATTTTTAAAGTAAAAATTCTAACTCAATTTTTGGTCAGGAAAATTTTTAAAAAACTGGGAAATTAAATGGTATTGCTAATTCACTAATTAAACTATTGTATTTAAACAGATAATTTAAAAAAATAAGTGTAAAAATTATAATTCATAAACTAAAAAAAACCAAACTATTAGAACTCAAAATTGCATTTTGAAAGACGTAATAATGTTGATGGCGTAGAACATAGAATGTTGAACCCATAACGAACAGCACACTTAGCAGCCAAAGAAGATTAAATTTAATTTTTATTTTAATTGACGTTTGTGGCCACAATTCACTTGAAACTCCAAATCATGCCTCTTTCCTGAATATTTACATTTTTGATGCTATTGCAATAGGTTGACAGCACAGAAACAGTGTCCTGGCAGCATCATATGTAGCAAAAGTGCACAATTATCTAATTTGAAGGCTCACCTAAAACTTGGTGAGCTTGAGTTTTCGAATTAGCTACATCATCATGGTTACACAGGATTAGAATTATTTAATTATGGCAAAACACACGAGGGCTATCTGCCTAAAGGGAGGGATGCCTTTGTGGAGGACTTTCTAAAGTCAACTGACTCGTATATATGTTACACATGAGGAAAACCATGAAAACGCTCATGCAGCCAGCCCGTTCACGGGATTCGAACCAAACTACCAGTGTTCAGCTAACAGCGTCTTAGCTGAACACTGGTAGTTTGGTTCGCTAAGCCGCTAGTAGGCCATCATGGTTACACAAGCCACATGACATACGTTGATCTAGAAATGGCACAGCCCAAGAAAGTTATTACATTTTTTCGAACACGGAAAGGAAATACCCAAATTAAAAATGAGGAATTAAGAGGTTATTACTAAATTAAATCATAACGTTGATTTACATAATTTTTATCTTACACACACACTCTCTTGAAACTGCTGATTGCAATAAAAAAAGGAGGTTCACATCTAACTGTTACAGCAGTCCCGTATTGGATTGAAGGGGGATTGTTCACATATAAATGTATTCCCAAACAAAGCAATTATTCCTATTGCAAAAATTTGTAACTGAGTGTTTACATCTTTTAAGAAGTGTGAAAAGGAAGTTGATCAAATCTACATTGAAATGTTTAACCCCTTAACTTAAAAGCTCAAGAATGACTTAAAAGCTTGAGGTAGCTTGACAATATCTTATTTATCAATTTAAACCCCCAATTAATTTACTGGATCGAGTTAGTTGCAAATGCAACTACAAGATTGCACAAGAAGTCTTTGATCGGTTTTAAAACTAAATGAAGCCTGTTTAGTAAACGCACTATAAATAATTTTGAGAGAGATTAAAACAAAACATCTATGGCATTTTATTCTATGTGATGTTAAAAGCAAAAAATATAATTTGGATTTTAATACAACCTTTTTTCGACAGTCTTAATTACCCCTTAAGTGAATAATTTGTCAAATGGTTATTTGCCATAATCTATAAAAGTTTAAAATTCAGCAATAAAAAGATTGGAAATTCTGAACAATCTTTTACAAAATAACTATTAAGTTAAAGGGTTAAATAAGACCCATATTATAATATAAATTAATTAGCTCCAATTGTATATTTTCTATGGTGTTACATTCATTTTTAAAGGCAATGAAAATAATGTAAAATTGGACTAAATATTTTTTAAACTGTAAACCTTTCTTCTAATCCTGCAACAATAACACTAAATAATTTACAGGAAATGTATCTGCAGGCTGCATAAAACTGCTTTGGGAGCTGTCACTGACATATATCATTATGTAGATACACATAACGATGCCTGGTTTTTTTTTTTTTAGATGCACTAGTTTTTCAACTGTGTGAGGGGCGGAGACTATTCACGTGCAATGAATTAAACACAAATATTAACTGATTAAATATTGCTCTTCATAAAAAGCTCTACAAATGTCCAAATTAGATTATGACAGTTCAGATCAAATGAAACTGAAAAAAGAAAAATTATGCTAAAAATCATTAAGGACAGGAAAAGGAACCTGCACAATTTAAGTTTCAGAAATTCAGTAAATTTCATTAATATCTGAAAAAACTCTTTCTTTAGTAAAGGCTAAAAAATATCATTATATGCAGCTGAGACATGGAGAATGGGAGCATACCTCCCTTTTCATACATACCTTTCCCTCTCAAGTAAAAAGTAATATTTTCTCCTTGTGAAAAACGTAAATTGAGGTTCACTTGAAGAATTGCATTATATTTGAGAGTGCACAGCAGATATTCACTTCCATCATGTTTCAGCAGCACAGAGACATATGGATTATCGAGATCGAGCTCATCTGATTCTGTTAAATAAATTTATGTGATTAGTTGCAAAAGAAGCACAAACAGTTGCAAAGCAGAGTGGTACATAGGCATATGTCATTAATCTATTTCAGGATATTTTTTATTTACACCAAAAAGGACACACTTTTCCAATAAGATACAAGGGAAAATAATCCGTTCTGGGAAAAAATCATGCAGCTATTAATTTTAACAATGTTTAACCTGCAAGTGCACACACTGGGTCCAATTAACCCACGCGATTAAACAAGCATTTCTCAAAGAAAGCCTATTTCATGCAAGTTGTTCAGGTCCACTGTAGTCGTAGTAGTTGTATAGATGTAACACATTTTTTTGAAAAATTAGAATTCTTCTTCTTCTTCAAAAAAAAAAAAAAAAAAAAAAAAAAAAAAAAAAAAAAAAAAAAAAAAAAAGAACAGCGTTTTTTTGGACCCAGTGTGCATGCTTCGTGTAACTCATATGAGCATGCATGCTCTTGGGTTAATACTAAAATATGGGATGTCCCCCAAAAAATGCCAGATTCAATATCATGATAAAAATATTTTTAGAAAACACAAAATATTTTTGCGTAGTTAAAACACGTGAAAGTTCTGATTTAAGGACGTGGAGTTTCAGTTGGCCTGGCAAGAATGACATTTTAACACTGTCAGTTCATTCTGTAGCTTTGTTAGTTGACGTGCAGCACTACACACAGGAACATTAAATTTTGATTTTGAAAATTAATTTTCATTACAAGGAATACTGAATGTTATGGATACAGACTGTTACAAAGTTTTATGCAATTTTTTGACATGAAAATGCATTTAATGGAATAGTAAACTGCTGTTTGATTAAGAAATTTAAAGACACAGGTTAGATAGCAGATATTCAATCGCCATGTTCTCAATCCCACTGATCTGCCAAAAACATCGTTATCATGTGCGACAGTGTTATTGTAAGTTCCAAAGAATCCAGACTAAAATAAAAGAACTTAAGGAAGAAATTGAACGAGCCATTAGTCACCTCGACAGGAGATATGCTAGAAAGTGATTATGAATTCCGTCGAGAGAGTGTGATGCTGCAGAACGAGTCATAGAGGACACATACCAGACTTTTTTCATTCATAAATTGAAACATTTACCCATTATAAGTATCTTAAAATATTTTCCATTTTCTGAAAATAAAATATTTTATTGGGGATACTGAATCTGGTACTTTTATTTATAGACACACTTTACAAATGCAAGGGATGAAATGTTTGCAGTAAGTTCTGCTTAATGTGATCAAGTCCGACCACATCTATTTTGATAATGCTAAACGACGAGAAAAAATTTCTTGAAAACAGCAATGGTATTTAACTAACTTGATATAAAAATAACAAGAAACATATAAATAGGTATTTTCTCAGCACTTTAATTAGGAAAATAAAAAATGTATTTATGAACTACTCATTACACCTTTAATGAAAAAGTTCATTTGTGAACAGTTCATGATGTTTCTGGGAAATACTTAGCTGATGCTGAACACCTAATCGCAATATTCAGAAGGCATCTCTCATTAGAAGAGAACATGTCCACACAAAATTTTAAATTATGCAAAAAAGCAATTTTAGTTTGTAATGGCTATTTGAAGCTTTCAAAGAATACTTTTTTCACAAGAGAAAAAATATTCAGAATTTTTGCCTATTTTGACTTTATTTGTCGACTTTAAAAAATTGTATTCTATAATAGATTGGTCCCATTAACTGAATTGTTGATCACAATCAGTTATGAATTTTCCATGTTTTCATGTAGAAATGGGCGGAGCTTCAGCGATTAAATATAATATATAGTGCGTCCGTAAAGTCATGGTGCACTTTTGATCGATTACAAGAAAGCAACCAAAAA